TCTCTCTCTCTCTCTCTCTCTCTCTCTCTCTCTCTCTCTCTCTCTCTGTCTGTCTGTGTCTCTCTCTCATATATTTTCCACAGCTTTTATACCCCAACAGAGTCTTCCAGGCAGTACAAGAGTCAGAACAGTTGCATTCCGTTTCTCAAGTGAGTGATTATAGGGTGAAAACATGTTCTTTATCTCCCTCACAGGATTAAACATCTTATGTATTATAGGTGAAAAACAAATTATCCCAGGAACCCACATACATTCATATCCAAGCAGCTTGTTAGAGATCCATGAGGCAAGCAAGGTGTTTTTGTCAGGTCTTTTACTGGCAGGTTGCATTTTTCGGTTATAAAGGAAGGGTCAATTGCTTATTACTTATCTTGAAAGGTAATCTAATAAGGGATCTTAAAGAAATAACAAACCTAGACTTTTACATATGAAAAAGAATCAGTCAGTTCTACTTTAAATCTTTAGGGTACATATCCATTCATTAATATTTTTATCTTTACATCAAGATATTGAGGACAGAAATGGGTATAAGGAATTAATCATCATCTTTGGTCATCAACCAAACCTAGTAAGGAGAGTACGTCAGGCAATAATAATTGGGCTGCTTTGTTCTTGTTCCCTGACCTTAAAGAGTTCCATATTTAACTATATACCTTTCTATAACTTTAGCTTGTCTCCTTTGGTTTTTCACCTCAAAGTTATTTAACAAAAACATCTTAGTCTAAGTTCATTATTTTCAAAGCCTTGTTTCAGCTGTGACGCACTATGACACCTGTGAACACATCTCCCGACATGAAGGTTAAAAGAATTTAAACTAGCTGGGCTATTGGGATGCAATTGTTAGTCATTAGCTTGAGCTACAATCCATGCAGCTCCCTTGGTGAGACTCAAAGACTCTGGCTGTGAAATATATCCTTGTATTTATTTTATTCAACAAAACTCTGTATAAGCCATCATTATTATTATCATCAAATTATACAGTGCAGCTTAGGGAAGGGTCATCTTCCTGACATCCATGGGTAAAAATGCCCAGTAGAGTGGGATGTTTCCAAGAGATAAGCACACTAAATTACAGGTAGTGGAGATCTCCCCACGTCCACTCATACCACAGTAGATATCAAAGAAAGAGAGCGGCAGCAAACACTTAAAGGCACAGCAGAAGCAAAGACATTCTGGAGTCTGCAGTCCCGTGGCCTTGCCTAAACAAGACTGGCCTATCAGGGGTTCCCTTCTGCTGGGCTGACACCTGGAGCTTCAAGTGTAACTCGCTGCTCCTCCAGCATGGCCCACAGCACCCTATGACTAGACTATGTGTTTCCACAGTTTTTATTTATTGTTTCAGAATGATGCAGTCAACAGACTAGGAGAGAGCTGCCATTGTAAAGACAATTATTATTATACTCATAAATCCTACTGTGGCCAGCCATATGGGGAAGCAATGGGTAATGGGGCAGAGGGAAGAAGTACTGAGCAGGAGCCATTACTTGGGTTTTTGTGGGAGGAACAAGGGAGATCAGGGAAGCAGGCACAGGGTTGGTCAGACCGGATGATTTCTATGGTCTTTGGAACAGAAGGTTGCTTAGCTATAATTCCACATGTCCTGTCCCTGGGTGATTAGGAAGTTATGGTTATTAGGACAGTGAATAGAGTTCAGGAATGTGAAAGCCCAATAAAGAGGGAGTTAAGTGATCCTTGTAGCTTGGGGGTGATAAAGCGGCAGGAGGCCAAAGAAAAGTGATGAAGGTGGCTGGGCTGCGCGTGAGTTGAGCGGATGTGAAAGCACAGAGAGTTTCCAGAAGCTACATGCATGCTTACCAGGCTTGGATTCCATGTTGCTATGGAAAAGCTAGAAGACATAGAGGAACCTTTTGTCACATCCTACCAGGACTGTGTTCTGTTAGTGCGCTGCTTTGAATGTATTAATAACACACTCAATAAACCAGTAATGTGTTGGTGCTGCATTATTGAAAAGAATTATTAAGCCCTTTCTTTTGGTATAATTTAACCAAGAGTGAACCCAGATTTGACTTTCTCTCTTTCTGTCTCTCTGTCTCTCCCTGTCTCTGTCTCTCTCTCTGTCTCTGTCTCTCTCTCTGTCTCTGTCTCTGTCTCTCTCTGTCTCTGTCTCTCTTTCTCTCTGTCCCTCTCTGTCTCTGTCTCTCTCTTTCTCTCTCTGTTCTCTTGTTCCCTGTCCATTGTTTAAGTCTGAATCTATGCATCTATGCCTGCCTGAATGCTGTCTTGTGAATCTATCTGCTCTTGGCTTTGAGTCTGTGTGTGCCTGAGTATGCCCAAGTGTGGGTCTCTAGCAAAGGGCTTTGCTTTCTCTTGAACAGCACAAAAGGTATCACATTGGGGAAGGAATAGTTTACAGAATCTTTAATAGAGTTTTATGAGAGATCCAGCCACTGACTCTAACTGATCCCAAACAATCCAGTTAAAGAACAGTATTATGAACATCATTATTTACCAAGCAATATCCATATGTTGCATCTAGCATTTATGTTGGATAATTTTATAAGGTTGTTTTAAATTAGTTTCTGTTTTCATTGAATGAACGATTATCATTACCTACATACACATTTGCGTCATTCTGAGATGGGGGTGTGAAAGAGCACCTAACTTCAGACCACACCCGTGCTTTAGGTTGGAAAAGTTGGTTACATGGAGAATCCAATGTTGTCCTCTTTTTGAATTGTCTGCCTTTTAAACTATGACTGTCCTAGTCAGCAACTGCAACTCTTCCTCTACCAGCAGTGGCTAGACTGCAAAAGCTGCAGCCTGAAGAAATTCTGTTCCCTCAGGCACTGACGCTTTTAAAACTACTAAGAAAATTTATCTAAATCTCTGTCCTGCTAAAGAATTCAAGATTTAAAAGTTGAGGTAGACTCCTGCTTCCCAGAGAGGCTCAATAGCAAGCAGTTCACCTAGCTCGCCTCCTCCCAAGAAGTTCTCATAGTTTCTCTTGCCTCTCTTTATAAACCCTTCTCCACCTGGCTCCTCCCTACTACTTCCTGTCAGCTAGTAGCCTCTGAACCGCAGATGAATTTTATTTATTCAAACACATTTTTGCATCATTAAACCAATGCTCTAGTGCATAAACAAAAGTAACACACCTTAAAATAATATTCTACAACAATCCAAGGCAAGAAAGGTTGGTCGTTATATTTTTCTCTCAAAGGCAGGTTAAACAACAGTCGGAGTACACAGTAAATCAGTGTTAAGTGGCCTCAAGGTGTATTATTAATTATGACTATGAGATACAACAAAATGTTCTCTTTAATGTAAAGAGCTATTTTTATCATAATGTATTGTCACATATTGCCATGTTGATGCTGATCTTAATCCCTTGGCTAATCCAGTTCTACATTTTTAACATCACTTCTATCTGATGCTCGCTTTTCACACTTAGCTCACATGTCTGACATGTTTGCAGACTAAGCTGTCAATCAATAAATACTCAAAATAGTCTTCCTCAAACTTTGACATTGTGGAAGCATCGAACACCTTGATGGTGAGTTGTAGTCCCTAGAGGTGGCTGCTTTTGGGATGGGTATTTCCTTAGACCTGTGTATCAAAACTTGGTCTCAGGCAAGTTGAGTTCATAGAGGAGACTCGTGTCTGGATGTCCTTGTGTTCTCTAATACTTTAGTACTATCATTGAATAGACATCTTCGTGGATACACTTGGTACTACCCAACATGTGGAGTTGTTCCCTCTGCACCGAGATAGAATATTCATGATGCTCAGCTAAAATTCTCTAGCTTGTCTTCTGTAAAAGAAGACAAGAAAAAGATTCCTGATATATCTACAGATTGCCTGCCAGGTATCTTATGGAGCCCTCTGATGTAGGTAGGGATGAAAAATGTCTAAATCCTGTGCTCTGCCTTCGCATATACTGAGTGGGGATGAAGGAGACACTGTTATCGCTGATTCACTTGTACATTTCTCTTTCATTCTTAGGGTCTAAGTCACAGAACTGTCTGTGGAACTCCCTCATTGATGGGCTCACTGGGAATGTCAAGGAGAAGCCACGGCCAACAATTGTTCAGGACACCCGACCCCCGGAGGAAATTCTGGCAGATGAATTGCCACAACTGGATAGCCCAGAAGCTTTGGTGAAGACGTCCTTCAGGTTTGGTGGATGAGAATCCAGTTTGTTCCTTCTTAATGGTTTTGAAAGCTGTCTCAGTCCATTTGGATGCCCACTCCGGGGGCAGCAAAGGATTGTTTCTCTGTGTTGTATAAATTAGCATCGATGAAGGATTGTTGGAATGCCAGTTGGTCTTTCAGGTAGATTTCCCAAATGTTGTGGCTCATTTCTGTTGGTAGTTAATGGGTATTGGCGTTTCAGTGCTGAGACTCAGGACTCTGGTGTCGGTAGCTTGAGTTGAGTTAATGACGCTTTTGCCTCAAGAGACAATGATGCATCCAGATAGATGCCCAGGGATACAGTGTGTGGTGGGAGTTGTTCAGCCCCACGTCTTTGCCGTTTCTTGCTTGGGGGAGATTTCTACCTGTGAGAGACATAAGTGCTATCACTGAGAAGATGAAATGCAAGCTTGTGTTGTTCCCCAGATGGCTGGCTGCTCTGCTCCTGTTCCCTTAGCCTGGTGTCTCCCCGAAAAGGTCTCTTTCATTTTCTTTTAACTGCAAGCTCCATTTCCATTACAACTCTATCTCTTATCTCTTCATCCATTTTAATGAAAGTTCATCTGGGTATGAATGTGTTATGAAAGAAGGATTTATTTTTTATGAATGGGACTTGAAATATCCAGTGTTACTGGTGTCAGAAATTGAGATTTCATAATTCTTCCAGCTTCCTTCCCCACTCCTTTCTTCCTGTTAGAGTAACTTTTCTGGTCCCTCTATTCTTGTCACTGTATACTATCCTACTCTCCAAATAGCTAGTGGAACATATAAACTTCACTTCAGGTAACTCTTAAACTCCATGAAATATTTTTAAAAGGTTCTGTCTTTTGCGTAGAGGTGGTGTGTGTAACAACTTAGTTAACGCCGTTTCATTGTGTGCAGGTTCTCGTGTGGACTGAATTATAGATGAATCTGAACACAAGTGTGAATAGAGGTTTTGTTTGGGTTTCTTGATGCAGCATGATGGTTACACCGGGGAGACAAGGACCGCAGGCAAACGATTTTTCTCATTCCCATCAAGGGTTTGGTTATTGCATCCCGAGGTTTTGACTGAAATAGAAGCTCTCCCTGTGAACCTACGTCTCTCTGCAAATGACAGCAGTAAAGAACAGAGCGTTGATTAGCTCTCTTTGTTCATGTGGCCTTGCCTTGGGGTCTGTCTGCTCATATACAATATATCCATAACCACTTACTCCATCTCAAACCAGGCCCGTTGCCTTCTCTCATTACCAGCTGAAGGGCTTCTCTCACAGAAGGACTGCTTGATCTGTTGTGTCTGTCCTCGGCACCCATTCTTCTTATAGTTGCCTTGAGCTTTTAAGTAGAAAGTGTATGTTGGTTGATGGTTCTTGTAATTGCTAGTTGTAGTCTATGCCAATGTCTTCATTCCTGAAAGAGATTAATGATAAATTATTAAGGTTGTAACTTCTTTCTAGTACTTTGTGAAACTTGGCACAGTACGGAGGGGGACTAGAGGACATAATATTCCACCTTTGCATCAGTGGAGGCTAGAAACCCACTGGCATTAGCCAGTCATTCATTGGTGCCCTGTGTGCTATTCTGCAACAGTTCTTCAAAAGATGCTGGACTGCCATGACAGTGTTAAATGGAATACACTCCCTTGTGCAATTTTTACCCCTGAGTATCGGGATAAGTTTGAGATTCTTTTTGCACATAACTTTTCAAGCATCCTCAAAATACTCAGTTTATGTATCAATTAGTAATTAAGCAGTATCAGGTTATCCTATTGATAATGACACTTTCTTAAAAACGCCTTTTGAATTTCAAGGAAAGGAAGGAACTCTAGATGAACATTAAAGAATGCTTGTAGGAGCATTCAGCCCCTGGAAACCTGAGTCTCGTTGATTCATAATGTCTGCGATCTAGGTGAAAATGTGGCTTATATTCACATAGTTATTTGGTTTTACATCTCACCCAAAGTGTCCCCTCCCTTTTCCCCTCCTATTCTCTCTTCACCTCCCATCATCCACCCCTTCCATTCCTCCTTCTGTTTCTCTTCAGAAAAGAATGGGCCGCCTATGGTTATCAGTCAGCCGTGGTATATCAAATTGCAGTGAGACTAGGCACCTCTTCTTTTATTAAGGCTGAGTGAGGTGATCAGGTAGGAGGAATGGGTCCCAAAAGCAGGCAACAAAGTCAGAGACATTCCCTGCTCTTAAGACTTTCACAAGAAGACCAAGCTACACAACTGTAACATATATACAGAGGGCCTAGGTCAGTACCCTGCAATCTCCCTGGTTGTCCATTTCGTCTCTGTGGGCCCCTATATCCCCATAGTTTTAAACCTCATGGAAATGCACACAGTTGGGAGTTCTCACCTGAGGCTCTTGTTTGCTGAAAAGGGGCACAGATGCCCAGGAACTGTCAACACCTGTCCTCCCAAGAACTCTAGTGTCATTACTGTTGAGTGCTTCAGGACGAGTGACAGCTTTGATTGCTCCTTTTTCTCTTTTTGGAATCCAGAACCATCAACTATGGTTACCAGCCCTTATCATCAAACAAGATCCTGTCTGTAATGGCAAAAGGCCTAATGATCCAGTCCTCAGGAAGTTCTTGGGACTCTTTAACTTCTCACACGTGCCCCTTGCTTGCTGACAGTAGTTTGAGTGTCAACTCTAATCCGGCTCTGGTTTCTGTCTCCTGCCAGAAAAGAGCATTATGTTAGGTATGACACCCATGAAGTTATTAGCTGACATCACCAAAACCAATTATCCTCTTCGCAGTGCTTTTATTGTCCCTTGCTGTCTGTCACCCAGCCACATTTGGCAACATGCACATTTTCTCAGGCATGTTCAAATAAAGTGGATACTTAAAAAGAAGGGGCCAGTGACTTACATCCGCCTTCCTCCAAGCTTTTCTAGCTCTTTCCAGGCAGGTGGAGACAAATACACACAAGCTACCCCCAAGACAGAGAGTGAGCACTGGCTTAATATTTGCATAATATGTTCATTCAAATACTTCTTTCTAGACCAAAATGTTGGCATAGTGTAAAGTCAAATTCTATATGCCATTTCCAGAGATAGGATGAGTTTATACATTTATGAACAGTAGGATTTTTTTTCAGAAAAATTTTGAAAGTCCATATGTTTTGGTCTCTCCCAGACTTGCTGTTATAATAACAAATATCCTCATATTGTCAGGCATGACCTTGGTGTAGAGGAAACAAAATACAGAATTGATGTTACAAAGGATTTCCTAGTAGAGTTGCTTAGGAGACATTAAGCCACACCAAGTAGAATTTTACTAAGGAAGCTCTGTCTCCCAAAATACCCCAAAGATAATTAGTTTGTGAACCAGGCCTGTTAGAGATGAGCAATATTTAGGCTGCTAGGATGTAAATATTCCAGCTGGATTGACTAGCTATGAGGCTCCATCATAACAAAAGGAGACACCCCTGACTTACAACCAGCCATTAGACCCACTTCTCTGTCAGAGAACAGACCTGTAAAGGGCAACTCAGGGGGGCAGTGCAGGGCGACACACATACTAAGCCCTGGTCTACCGTAAAGCCCTGGTGCTCTTCTTCTTAAACATAATGCTGCCAGGTGGACAAGATGATCCTGGGTAACAACTATGTGAAAAAGAACAAGACTGGCATATTTAAAATCAATTCTGGCAGCACCTTTTCTGTGTAAGTTTCCTATCTGCCTAAGTGGCCAGAGTTGCATGTGTACAATCATAAGCCTAATGTGTGTGTAAGTTAGTGAGCTCTTTGAAATCTTCCCCTTGGCACTCGCTCCCCTTTGAGCATCAGCAAGAGCCAGATGGGTCCATTACCGAATAGTTTTTTCCTTATTTTTTTCTGATTGTGCAGAGTGAATATTTCTGCTTTAAGTCTGCAATCCAAAAGATGCTGCCTGCTTGTGGTGTTTTGAATGAGATTAGACCCAATGGGCTCACTTATTTGAATACTTGGTCCCCAGTGGGTAGAACTATTTGGGAAAGTTTATGAGGTGTGCCCTTGTTGGAGGAGGTGTGGCCTTGTTGGAGGAGGTGTGTCATTGGGGGTGGATTTTGAGGTTTAAAAAGACTTGCCATTCCTGGGGTCTCTCTATCTAAAGGTCGTGGATCAATTTGTGAGCTCTCAGCTTTCTCTTCATTCGACCAACATGGACTCTCACCCTTGAATCCATAAGTCAAATTAAATGCTCTCTTTTGTAAGTTGCCTTGGTTATGGTTTTTAGCACAGTAGTAGAAAAATGACTGTTGAAGAGGAGAAACTGTACCAGAGAAGTGGGGCCTATGATTTCCACTTGAATTCAAATATAGACTAGTAGGAATGCGTGCTTGGGAGATGGCTATTACTAATGGCAGTAGCCAGGAAGAAGATCCTACTTCGCGTCCTATTGATTATAAATCCTTGGAATCTCATCTTGAAAAACTAGATCATTGAAAGTGTGCCCATAAATGCTATCCAGTTTCAAGACAAATTCCTAGATCTACCACTTCAAGTCTGTCCTGCAAACAGTCTGGGACTGCCTCTGAAGGCCAACGTGATCAGTTAGCAGTAATGAAAATATGTGTCACTAAAAGTGGGACTTTGACATTCAGACTTAGAAGGTAAGATTCTGGAAAATGAATGGACCCCCCTTCTTCTCTCTAGGCTATCAATGACTAACTGAGATGTGAAAATGCCACCTCAGGTCTAAATCTATCTCCTGGCCACCCTTCTCTTGTTCTTCCCTGCTGGATGCTGAAAGACAGGGGCTCAGTGTCTTGGAGCAGACAGTTCAGCATAGTCTTGTGAAGGAAGTGCCAGAGATTGAAGAGAAGCAGTTTTCTGCCTTGTTCAAATCCATGTCTTAGGTCTCTGGTAAATACCACGGTTTAGTTCTTCCTTGTGCTATAGTCTTCGTCATCCCCAAACAGAAACTGCCAGGTACCTAGTTAGACAGGTTCAGTGCTGAGCGTGTCTAATTCTCTTACTAGTGGCAGATTTCATCTCTTCCAACCTCTGTTTCC